CCCCCCCCCCCCCCGCCCCAATATTAGCCCGAGGGCTCATTAGGAAATTAAGTTGAAATTCTATTGTTTTAAATGGAAGCTTGGTGGTGATGTGATGCGTTCAGGTACTAGTGGAAGAGTCTGAAAAGTCAAAAATCAAAATATACAACAAAATAGGAAGTCTTTCTTGTGCCTTTCTAGAGCTCAGAGCTCGTGTTTTTCCCCCGCTACACCATCCTGTAATGAACCTGTCACTATGACTGGTTGTATTATAATTTACACGGTAAGTAGGGACTAAAAACTGCACCCCGAGACACGTTTTTAGAGGAGCTGAAAGGTATATTTATGTTCTAAAATGGTCTTTGGAAGAATAGAAAGAAGTCTTTGGACCCCAAAAGACACAACATTAAGTCTTCAGGAGCAATTCATTTTTGAAAGTGTAGATTAAAAAAATGGCTTAATAATTAAAAAAGTGACAAATATTACCTCAAGAGTTTGATTTAGTGTTTGTATAAATTAGATGTCATCCTCTTCTACTGAAAGCTGTCCTACATCGCCATCTACAGGCCGGACCCTGAAACTACAGGACACCTTCGCCAGTGACGGGAACAGATGATGTTATTCTTTTTTTTTTTTTTTAATAAAATTGGATTTTATATTCAGTTATTTTTATTTGATTCTGTTCGAAATCGGCGTTAAAAACGGTTCAAAACGTTTAATTTGTCACCAGAATCACTAAAGCTGCATCTGTTCCGCTATGAGGTCACGTGGCTCTGCGGTCACGTGACGTCAGGCCCCCTTTAGCGTAAACACGGAAGTGGCTCCGCGTCTTCCCCCCGTGCAGCGGTCCTCTGAGCAGTTCTAGGCCGGCCAGCATGGACAGCTCTCTGGCCCTCACCCTGCTCCTCTCCGGGCTCCTCTCCGGGCTCATGGCTGCTGCCTCCCGGCCGCCGGAGGCCGGCCATGGCGGCCCCCTCCGCCCCAAGAGGCTCCGGACCGTACAGGTGAGCTCTTTCTCCTCATTTGCGCCACCTTTTTTATTTATTTTTATTTTTTACAGCT